CCGAGAAGTTTCATCGTTGAAGAACAGAGAGGTTAAGAAGATATCATTGTGTCATTCATAAAATTGTTTTTTTGAAATCTGGTATGTGTCTGATTTATGATGAGAGGGTTATGTTGTGAAATAAAGATGTACTAGAAATTTCAGATCCATTGGACCCCTAAAACCCCCACCCCTCCCCTACCTCGATAGTATGTAACCAATGTCGTTAATTGGCCATTACAGTCCCATCATTTATGTATATGCTGGGCTTGCTATGGAAAACTCAATGTGTCGATTATGTTGTACTGGCCTTTTGCCGGGGAACTGAATATGATTGCTGGGTACCCAGCACTGGGACCAGCTGCCGGCAGCAGTGTACTGATATATAGAGTCCCGCATATGGGACCATTTACTGGGCCGCTGATGTCAGGTATGGGAAAAATATACTAGGCCATCGATGCCCCATATCAAGATGTTTGCTGGGATATGTTACCACCACAAATACTTTGCTATTCACAAAACGGAAAAATTTAATATACAGGGTGAGTCGCCGGGAGGAACGGACCAAACTCCAAGTGTGTATTGTACACGTGAAAATAATTTGAAAAAACCCATTCTCCTTTGTTTTCATTCCAAACTTGAATAGATTTGTGGTATTTTATAAGACTTTCATCGTACAAACTCAATTGTTTGATCTGTCCTGTTATCCAGACATGTAATAATAATAATAATAATAATAATAATACATTTATTATCCACAAAATATTTAAATAGTACAGGGTACGTAATACAACAGAATTCAAGTGGATAAATGGCTTTAACTGGTTCAGTTGTGGACTAATCCACCCCTGTTCTTCCACCAGTGCCAGTGAAATTGAAGAAAGAAATTTGAGAAGCAAATGATAATTTAAATGTAAAGAAACGATATTTTGAAAGAAAATGATAGGAACCAAGAGGGAGAGGAAAAAAGTAGAGAGCGAGAAGGAAAAAAGGAAAAAGATAGGGAAAGTGAGTAACAAAATAGATTAGTTGATTTGTAAGATCATTTCTGCGTGGACAAAAGATACTTTTTATATTTAACTTTAAATGATTCGGTAGAAGATGATAGCAGTGAAGGATCTAATCTGTGCAGATTGTTGATACAGACTGCCAAGCCATAAGAGAACGAGCGTTTATAAATAATTTTTTCATGTCTCACGAAGAAGGGTTTTTTGTCGGATATTCAGATTATGAACATCTGTTCTGAAAGTGAGTCTGTTATGTAAATAGGGGGGTGTTTTGAAAGTGTAGATTGTATGGGCCAAACATGCAAAATGTAGAGTTCGACGGTTGTACATATTCAGCCATTTCATTTCCTTAAATTTTCCTGAGATGTGGTGATATTTTCTTATTCCGTAAACCAATCGAACACAAGAATTTTGAAGCTTCTGAATACGTCTAGAATCATTACTGTCTAAGCAGGGACCATACACGACATCGCAATGATTGAAATGTGATAGTACAAGCGAGTCACATAAAAATTTTTTAATTTCACACGATAGGAATTGCCGTTGGGAATAAATCATTTTCAGTGAGGCATATGCAATTCTTAGTTTGGAGGATATTTATGTTCTTTGAACCCCATTTGTTGTCCAGGACTAGACCTAAGTTTTTGCAATGAGTTTCAACTGGAATTGAGGTACCAACAATCTCAAGTAATACTCTGTCCTTGATAAGTGCCAAGGTATTGTCACTACAAAATATGAGCGCTTTAGATTTTAAGGGGTTTATTTTCAGACAGTGGCTGCGCGAGATATTGGATAATTCTTCGAGATCTCTGTTGATGCACTGGATTGCTTCCGGTGTGTTCGTGTCAGTCCAAAGTCTCATAAAATGCCACACATCTATTCAAATTCAGAATGAAAACAAATGAGGATCGTATAAGAACATATGGGTTTTTTTAAAATCATTTATACCTGTAAAATACCAAGCTGGAGTTTGGTGCGTTCCTCTCGACTCACTCAGTATATTTTTATAATACCTCAAACATAGGGAAGTATTCCCAAGAACTCAAAGTGTTTTCCAAACATCATAGGAATTTCCTTTCGTGGGCTCCAAGAGATAAATGTTTCAACCTGAACAAATGAAACATTTCTTCTAATTCATATGGATTCAGGATTGATTTATAGAAGGTGAAGCTCCATTTACAGTTAATGAACTTAGGCATAGGTAGGTTTACTTGCATGAAATAAAATAATTGAATAAATAAGATCGCCCTGTAATTATGGTATACCTTCTTATGACACGCCGAATCGGATGGCAATATTTATAAGTTTCTCCTTTGTTCCATGTTGAAAATATGTGGACCGTATAGTACTTGAAACATTCATTTCATTCTATTGTTTGGAGATCTATTCAATTGTACATTTTCATATAATAGTGACATATCGTAATGTCTATATGTAGTCAAAATCCCTTCCTGTAACTTTTGGATAAGTTAATTTCTTTAACCTATAATCATCTTCCACATTTGCTAAGATTTTGTGACCTTGCCTTTTCGTAATAATTAATTGATGAATATAGGTAGGTACCTACTTTTGTACCATTTAAAAAAACCTCTATATACGCTACCTGTACATTCACATCAAGCAGAATATCTTCCACATATTCTTGAAAACACTTTTCAAAATTGAACAATGAGTTTCGAATAAGTAACATGTAATTACTTGAGGATTTTTCAATTTTTGCATATTCCATACAGGGTGTATGGATTATGTGAATGAAATGGAGGCTGAAAATATCACAATGATGTTGAAATATTTGAACTTTTGTACGAATTCGCATGGAATCATAACCACGTAGTATGCATAAAATGTGGTGTTATTGTGATAATCTCAAAATAGGGGAATTAGGAAGTGGAAATCAGAGGTCAAAAAAAGAGTAGACTACTTGACTAGACACTAGACTACATCAGGTACAAAATTGCAATTATTATATAATGCATCTTCTCTTCATTTGATCAAATTGTTTGAATTCTCTGGATCATTTGTATCCGTCTCTATAGAACTAATGATGTTTACTAAGCCTAGTTCGAGAAATGCGACTGAATGATCCTAATAAATATTTTAATGACTGTCGTGTAATGTGCCGTCAATTTCATGAACTTCTATCAATGTTGGGACCAGGAATGAAGAAGTTATATAAGGCAACAGAACCCCTACGTGCCCTTATCTCCACAAATTTTGTCGCATGACTATAAACGTCGAATCCCTGTTGAAAATGTCATATTTTGCGATACGCATAAATTTTGCGGAATTCGGAAACATACATCATTGGAACACCGTAGAAAAGTCGGCGACCTTTCACTTTTCTATCGATACTTCCACGGGAAATGTTCTTCGGAAATCTCTGCTATCATCCCTTCACTAGCAATACCAATCAGACGAACTAGACAAGCCCAGTCAGCACATCCTTTCGTTGTCAACCTCGAAAGATGTCGAACAGCACTTTATCAAGACTCCTTCATCCATAGAACGGCTAGGCTCTGGAATTCATTGCCTGTGGAAGTATTCCCAACAACATATAATCTCCAAAAATTCAAAAAAAATTCCAATACCTACCTCCTGTCCCTATCCTCCCTAGGAACGCACGATGTTCTTTGAACATTATAGGGATTCCCTTTCGTGCGCTCCAATCGATAAAAAAAAAAAAAAAAAATACCTTAACACCGATCTACTTGAGAAATGACGGCCGATTATTGAAATAGAAGACACTTGAAATGAGTGCTATTGCAGTACTTCATAAATAACGGTGAAAACGCACTTTCGCACTCATCCTCCTTGATAAGGATTTGGAAGCGCATATACGTTGGTGGCTGAGCGCTTCCATCAATGGTGCATTCCCTAACAACACAGGGATGTCCTAGGTACGTCCCTTTTTCGTCCCGCGGTACAAGGACATGATTGGGACATCCAGGGGATGTCCTGCAGTAGTTGTCCAGTGGACATCCCGCCCGGTACATCCCTAGGTTATCCTATTCGTGTCCCTGGAGTATCTGATATCCATTCACATCAGAGTCATTGAATTTCATCAAACTATTGAGTTGAATTTTATTGAAAATGTCTGTTTCTCTTCCCGAAAATGATTGTAATGAAAATAAAGAATGAAGTCCCAGAACTTCTTAAGAAATTACCATTTTTCGCAGACAGAAATCGTACATGCATAATGCCCCTCATTTTCAAACACCCAAGAATGATAATAATTATACCCAATTCCTAATAAAGTTGTATTTTATTCAGGTTCCTGTAGTCAAGTCCTGCAACTCGACCTGCAACTTTTTTTCTTTTGTCGGAAGGATATCCCTGGGATATCCTTGGGACGTCCTAGGGATATCCTTTCATCGTACTTGGTACATCCCAGGGACGTACCAAAAGGACATCCCTTGGATGCTTTTTTTAGCGGCCAGCGGATGCCCCTGGGACATCCCTAGAATGTACGTTGTCCCGACAAAGGACATCCCTGGGATGTCCTAGTATAAAATCAGGGACGTCCATGGAAAGTCCCTGAGGGTTGAAATTCGATCTCAGCCTACTCTTTTTATGAGCAATCATGTTTTTACAAAAAAACTTCAACGCCTTGTACCAACTCAACGAGACGATTTTGGATATAGAAAAGTTGGCTTAAATCAACTTGTTTTTATCCCATTAGTCCAAAACCGAGCCATGTCCCAACCTTTTACAGACACCCAGTATACGTTTACATATTCTATGGGCTTTGTACTTTCGGTTGGTGTGAAAATTTTGCATTGAACTCATCGGTACAAATTTCAAAACGAGTTTTCCTTGAATTTTCAATGTATTACCTATAGCCTCTGTCCAGTTTTTTTTTTCAGGCCACCCATTATTCAATAATTTTCATCATGATACTTTGGATCCTTTACGATATAACTATCGATATGAAGAAACTTCGAAACAGTTCGATGAAATGTTCTCCGATCAACAACCATAGGGATATCGACATGTTCGAAAATCAAAATTTCATAACACTTTCGAATTTTACTCATTGATTATTGGTTTTCATCATGAGAGTACATCTGAAACAAGATCTGAATTCTTGCATCAATAATTGATATCAAAAACAACACTTCTATCATTTATATAAAAAAATGTATGTATCAATCATATTTTATACATAGGATATCTCATTAAGTACAAGTAAATATTCAAATCAGTCTTCAGCTCTTCTGAAGCTGGTTCATAATTTTCTCGAGTTTCAAGGTCTGTTGCGTACTTCCAGCCACTTTCAACTTTCCAGTCATGTAGGCTAAGGCTGGTTTCAATTTTCCTGCGAACATTTTCTTGAAATTGTCACTCGACAAAGTGAGTGTGGCATCTGGAGAAACAGGTGATTCGCCTTGGCCGCAGGAACCGCTGCCATTTTTCAAATCCAAAAACCTGGAAAGAAATAAAGTGGAGGAAATTCATCCGTCATCTCAAAATGAAAATAGCCACCTAGATGCAACTAGAGTGCCTCGAATGTCTCATTTCACGCCCTTCAGAAAGTGGGGACACGCTTGTCACCACTGACGAACGTGATTTCGAGTTTGTCTTGCATAATTTGGTGGTGGTAGATACAATTTATTTGAGTTACCCAAAGACAAGAATACTTTTCAAGTGTTCGTTAGAGTTTCAAATCTCAATATTATTCATTTCATGCCTTTGGTGTTACGCCACTGTCAGTGTTTCGAATTATAATATGTCTGCACCAGTTTAATGGAGTAGTACAAAAAAAAATTCATTCCATCTCTTATAATAGTAGATTGTTTTATTAGGATCAAAAGTGACACTTTGTTTGACAAGCGAATTTTGCATTTGCAAGGCGGAGCGTTTAGCGAAGCCGAGCGAAAGCAAAATTTGCGAGTCGAACAGAGTCACTTTTGATCCGAATGAAACATGCTATTTTTTCTGCAACCGAAACAATGAACTCAAATAAATATGTGAAGTAACCACCAATGCCGTGCCATATATATGCAATGCAACAAATATTGATAAATAATCCGTGGATTTTTTTTTTATTGAAAAAAATGGCTGCTCCAAGATGGCGGACAAGATTTGGTCCGATTCCATTCAAAATTGGTAAGTGGGGGTTTTTGAGGTCGCAGATCATGAGTTTTTTGTCAAAATTTATAAATTCAAGATGGCGGCTTCCAAATAATTTTTTGTTTTTGTATAAATGACGATAACTCCGTTGTTATCAACACAAAACTATTACTGCGACATATCGTCTGTAAGAGAAAAAAATGTAATTTGTAACTAAGTCATAGTGAGCTATGACCTACATTTGAAAAACTAAAGTTGGTGCTGATATCTCAAATTCTAGAAGAGTTGGTATAAATTTCATATTCTTTTCGAAATCACTTTGAAAAACTGCCATGAGAACATGAAATTCCTATTTGAATATTTTCATTAATAAAGAAGTTACGGATGAGACATGAAAATGATCAAAATTTTTGCGTATAAAACAAAAACGAATAGATTTTATCAAAATATTTTTTCACATTACAGTTGGCCTTGACAAACTTCACATTTGGTGTCATTTAACCGACTTCGTATCTCTCACCGTTGAAGAGATACCCATGGTGAGCATGGTAAGTGGGACACACTGTATTATTATTGATGTTCAGTTAATCACATGCACATTGCATGGTATTTCGTCAAGCTCTGTTTGAATCAATTTCACAAAATAAGTAATAAATTCAAATATAGGAACTAATGATATGTATAAACCAAAAAAGGACCAAACTTCAAATCGAATCCAATTTTTTATATCCCGGATGTTCCAGAATACCTGTTCCAATAGATTATCTCAGCCATTTCGGAAGATAAGAATTTGAAAATTACATGATCTAGGTACTACAATTCAAATAACTTGAAATTATTATTGAAGTCTAGATCAAGATTACAAAAATATATCCCAGCCTACTGCAATTCGTTCAATTTGAAATTTCGATTGTCGTTTACCCCACCAAATCAAATTTGAAATACGAAATGTGATATATCGTTGGAACGGTAATTTTGAGTAGAAATCAAATGTTGCAAAAATATACAGAGTACTATTTGAAATAAAAAAGTTAGAGTCGCTCCCGGGCAAACCAGAAGTGACTTCCATTTTTCGTTTTTCTCAGTTGAAGCTTCCTTGAACGATTTGAAGATCATTAAATTTTCGATACAGAACGACTTTTGAACCACTGGGTATAATCGATTCATACTTGATAGGTATATTCAACTCGTATCAACTCATGGAAACTAAATAGGAATCGAATTTACAATCTAGATTCGTCTTCAGGCAAAACAGAAAACCTTCCAAAATAACAACACTCTCTATATTAGAATTTTGTAGATATGTTCTGATATCTGCAAGGAGCAGGAAAAAATAAGGAACTGGTCTTCTTTTTAACAGTGCGCATCCAATTTGAAAAATAGAATTTTTATTGAACTCGTAATTCAAAATCCAATTTTATTGAAAAAACTAACCAGTCCTCAAATTTCAACTCAATTAAAGCTGAATTAGGTTAACTATCGATGGATTTTGTTCCATGGAATATTTTGTAAATTATTTTAGTTATTTTCGTGTGCTCATTACATTTTCACACACACGAATGTCAAATTTGATGCGCGCTCATAAGAAGTAGGCCACATTGTTCATTATTTTCTCTCACTTTCCAGTTATCACAACATATCTAGAGATTTTGGGAAAGATTATATTTTCAGCCTGTGTTCAATCATTAGACTTTCGAAAACAGTACTGTCAGTATATTCGTGTTCAATACTCCATCTTATATTTATTATATTCACAGTCACGCATAAGACATCGTTGAGTACAGACGTGTATTAAGCGATAAGAGCGAAACAAAAGTGAATCATAAGTGAATCATCATGGTGATTAAAAGAGTCAACACGCTAACATTAAATTTTAAAAATGTTAGGAAGAAACCATCGAATACAAATCTGCATATGTGGATCAAAAATGTGCTCAAATGTACGGTGGATCAAATAGTGGGAATCCAGTTCGATCATGTCAAGCACAAAATTTTCCTGAAGCTGGTATCCAATTGGCAGATGCAGGCAATCCTACAGAAGTTCAAGGATGGTATAGTTAAATACGTAGAAGACGGAGAAGAGTTTGATGTATACATAACTGAAGATACCGATGATATTCTAATAAAAATTTTCGACTTCCCTTTGGAACTCGAAAATAATAAAATCAAGGATAAAATGTCACAGTACGGAGTTGTGAGGAGTATGAGAAATGAAAAATATGCTGGAGAAGGTCTATTTAATGTGGAAACCGGAATTCGATCGATGTGGATATCAATGAAGAAACCAATCCCATCGTATATTACCATAGAGGGGTGTACCTCTCTGATAACATATGCCAATCAGGTGCGTACCTGTATGATATGTGAAGAACCTGGTCATGAAAGAAAAGACTGTCCGAGGAGAATAACAAATAGGATTAATGAAATCAGAAGACCAAGTGCTCCAGTAGTCACAATGATCAGTAGTGAAATATTACAGCAGGAAAGTACGGACTCTCAGTTAGAAATTCCGGAAACACAGCTTACACCAGCTATAGATGTGATAGTGAATAATGAAGAAGTGCATCATGAGGAGGAGGAAAAGGAAAAAAGTGAAGAAAGTTTGGATTCAGAGTTAGAAAGTGATACTATTGGTGATATCATTTCACCTACACAAAAGTGGCAAGAAGTTAAAACGAAAAATACTGGACTGAAGAAAAAGAAGCGAGAGGAAATGGAAACGAGTTCTGAAGAAGAAAGAAAGGTACCAAAACTGACCATCAAACTTCCACCTAAAGCCGGAAGGAGCTCAAATGGTAACGAGAAACCACATGAAGGAAATTTTGGAAATATAGATATAGGCGAAAGGTCAAGGGGAAAAGATCCATTTTTCTGAGTGAGTGTTTAGGGACTAACTGTATTTTGAATAAAACCGTATCACTGAAAATATTTTTCATATTTGTTTCTTCTTCCGATCTGGCTTGGCAGTTTTATGATATGTATAATTAGATATCAATTTCTTTTGCGATCATATATCATGTCACATTTACAAACTATAGCTACCATTAATTGTAATGGACTGAAAAACCCAGCAAAACAAAGTCTCTTGTATGATTTCATTAAGAAAAATGATATAGACTTACTTTTCGTTCAAGAATTGAATACGGAAGTCTTGAACAACATATTTGGATATTCAATGCTGAGTAATGTTGGGAATTCACAAAGAGGAACAGGCATAATTTACAGAAACGGGTTTGATATAAAAGATGTTTTGTGTTCAATGGACGGGAGACTAATATCAGCCACAATCAATAATATCAGATATATAAATCTTTATGCGCCATCCGGATCACAAAACTATAATGAGAGAAAAAACTTTTTTCAAAACGATATCACCATGCACTTGAATTGTAATCTTCCCATGTTCTTACTAGGTGATTTCAATGCTGTAATACACAAAAATCAGGCACGTAACCAAACGAATATATGTAAAACTTTGCTAAACTTAGTGCAAGGGCTCAGATTGACAGATACATGGAATTTGATACAAAAGAATAAAATCGAGTATACCTATGTTAGAGAAAATACTGCATCTAGGATAGATAGAATATATATCACCCAAGAAAATAAAAGCTTAATTCACAGATGTGAAATAAAACCGGTAGCCTTCTCGGATCATAATTTGGTCATTGTAAATTTCAAGTTAAATCCAAATGATAAAGTACACGTCACAAATCACGGATGGGGTTTTTGGAAAATAAAACGTTCTGGTTTTTCCGAGGAAAATATTGAAAATTTCAAAAAAGAAATCAAATATCTCAAAAATAATAAAAAATACAAAGAAAATTTAAATGAATGGTGGTTTGGGATTTTCAAAAAGAGAGCTAAGGCTTTCTTCAAAAACATCGAAATCAATGAGGCTATTGAGAGTAGGAATTTGATAGAATTCTATCAAGAAGCTTTATTTGAAACAAACGGGAAATTGAGTAATGGTGAAAATGTGATAAATGAATACAGAGAGATTAAAAACACAATACTGCATCTCAAACAGAAACAACTGAATGCTAGGTACAATAACAAAATCAATAGCGAAGTGAATGATAGATATAGTTTATACGACATTATGAAACAAAGAAAAAACAAAAATTCAATAATTTCATCTTTGAAAACAGAAAATGGCAACCTGCTCATAAACTCGAAGGAAATGATCAGACATGCCAATAATTTTTATGCAAAAAAATTTCAAGAATCACAAGTGAACGATAGAGATATGAGATGCCTTCTAGCATATATTAAAAACAAAATTCCAGCACACGACAGTATAAGATTAGAAAACGAGATAAGCTTAGAAGAACTCAAGACAGTGCTCCTGGAGGC